CAGGATCTGTGTTGCCGGGTGCCGGAGTTGACGAGGGGGCATAATCTACCCAACCTGGCAAAATACCAATAGGACCAATTCAAAACATCCATTGGGATTTGAAATACATAAGAAACACTGGCTTGTAATAGAACAGACAGTCAAATAGTCAAAAGCTTTTAGAATTTAGTTAGATCTTTTATCAATTGGAATCTACAAATGCAGACAGTCCTCACTTTGTGCAATGTGAGATCATACAGAGTGGTATTAATAATCAGTGGTTCATGCCTGTAATTCTAGCACTTTGGGAGGCTAAGGCGGGAGGATTACTTGAGCCCAGGGGTTTGAGACCAGCCTGGGCAACGTAGTGAAATGTCATTTCTACAAAAAATAAAAAAATTATCCTGGCATGGTGGTGTATGTCTGTAGTCCCAGCTATTTGGCAGTCTGAGGTGGGAGGATTGCCTGAGCCCAGGAGGTTGAAGTTGCAGTAAGCTGGGGTGGTACCACTGTACTCCAGCCTGGGCAACATAGTGAGACACTGTCTCCTCCCACCCCCCACATTGTACTTCATAAATACATACAATTTTTTACTAGTCAATTAAATAATAATAATTTTTAAAATGGGACAATCTCATGTTGGGAATACATGTACAGAAAAATGAAAAAATAGTAAAACAAACATTTATTTGGTACACTAATTTAATACATTAGAAACATTAAGATTTAAGCGTTATTTTTTTTGTAAAAAACCTACCAGGAGTAGGTTGAACAGGGTTTGCCTTCTTCTAGTCATGTAACTTACAATACAGAAAAAATACATTTTCTATGTTTTGGAAAATTGTTACATCCCTTTCTAAATTTGGGTTAACTTCCAACATCCAACATCTTATCTTTTGTGCTTTTAATGTTGTAAAATGTCTCTGAGCATTCTTTTAATGTTAAGTTTTTGCTGGTGTTATTCTCTAGGACATTTTCAACATATCTGACACAACCACTTCATATTAATATTTATTATTAGTAATAACAACTAACATAATTACCTCCGGTTATATAGCTCAAGTCTATGAAATGGCAACAGTTTCAGCATTCCATGGTCTACTTACATTCAATTCAAACTTCACTTCTAACACTATTTTTTTTTCTGTGGGGCACTTATCTTTGTTCACCAATTCCCTGTTTCAACTGCTCATTTCTTTAAAATATCACATGTGTTTGTCACTGGGAGACAGGGAGACACAGTTACGTGCCTCTGCTACAGTGTGTGAAATAATGACAGACATGCAGTGACCAATCACGACAGACTCTGAAAAAAGTGACATCATTGGCCATGACATGATGCACATCTGTTATGTATATGGTAATCTGTGGCCTGAAAAGCTAGCTTCAGGTTTATGCTTTATGCAATTACAGTTAATATAGGATGGCAACTAACATTTGAACTACATTGTTGAGGAACTGGTGTTATTTAACTGTGGTAACTGAAATTTATGCTTACTGGAGCCATGCAAGGCAAACACTGCCTATGTAGCAAAGCTTTTAAAACATTAAGAGAATTTATTAGAAAAAAAAGATGAAAGCTCTATTGTCTTAAGCTCTGATTTTTTAAGCTATGCCTTTAGAATCAGAATCTATTTATTTATTTAGAGATGGAGTCTCACTCTGTCACCCAGGCAAGAGTGCAGTGGCATGATCATGGCTCATCACAAACTCAGCCTCTTGGGCTCAGGTGATCCTTCTGCCTCAGCCTCCTGAGTAGGTGGGACTACAGGAATGTGATGCCACACCCAGCTAATTTTTTGATTTTTTGTAGAGATGAGTTCTACTATGTTGTCCAGACTTATCTTAAACTCCTGGCCTCAAGCAATCCTCCTGCCTCAGCCTCCCAAAGTGCTGGGATCATAAGCCTGAGCCACCATACCAAGCCTGGAGTCAGAATCTCATTGCCTTAGAACTTCTATGAGGTAGACACATCTCATCTCCCTATTGCCAGTTACTAATGTTGCCCAGGTACTGAGTCTACAAGCTGCTGTTTCAGTGTGAAGAGGAAGAGCATGTTTGAGGGTGGCTGGGAACAAACAATTGGGAACTCAGTTGTCTGCTCACATGACTTGTCTGCTACTGGGTGCAAAGGCCATGTTTGGTAAAAACTTGTAAATGTACAAGTCACTCTGATCTAGATGCCTCTGAGTGGATTTTATGACAGCAGTTCAACATCAAATAACCCGGAGCAGGTCAGAGTCAGAACAAAGGTGGCTACACTGGGCCATGGCAGTGAGCATAGCCCGTGGGCCACCTGGAGCAACACAGCAGCCCTGTGCCAAAGGACATTCCAGCAACATGCAAAAGCCAGCACACATGGCTGGACATTTAGCTCAGTCAGCCCAGAGCAGTCTGAGGATGGCTTCCATAGAAAACACTTCATGTTCTGTGTCGACCAAATCACAAAACGCATTACCTAAGACTTACGTGGGTTAAAAACATGGTGAGCAGCACTGCTTAAAGCAAAACAAACGCTAGCAAATAAATCAGCAGTGCCAATTATAGGGTGCTACAGAGTAGCCATACTGCCTGCCTAAAATTCAGTCATGGCCGGGTGCAGGGGCTCACCTGGCACTCTGGGAGGCCAAGGCAAGAGGACTGCTTGAGTCCAGGAGTTGGAGACCAGCCTGGGAAACACAGTGAGCCCTCATCTCTACAAAAAAATCAAAAAATTATCCAAACACAGTGGTGCCCACCTGTAGTCCCAGCTACTTGGGAGTCTGAGGTGGAAGGATCACCTGAGCCCAGATCACAGCTGGAGTGAGCCATGATGGTGCCACTGTACTCCAGCCTGGGCAGCAGAGTGAGATCCTAACTCAAATTTTAAAAAAAAAATGTCAGTCATGCATGGTGCACATCATGACACCTATATTCAATAGGTGAAGTCAATGTTGTTTTACTGAAAGGACTAATCATCCTAGTAAGTCATCACCGTTAATAGTAATGGTGGCCAGGCTTGGTGGCTCAGCCTATAATCCCAGCACCTTGGGAGGCTGAAGTGAGCCCACGAGATTGAGAACAGCCTGGAGAACTTGGCGAGACCTCATCTCTACAGTAAATAAAAAAATTAGCTGGGCGTGGTAGTGCGCGCCTGTAGTTCTGGCTTCTTGGAATACTGAGGTGGAAGGATCGCCAGAGCCCAGCAGGTCGATGCTGGGGTGGCTGTGAGTGTGCCACTGCACTCCAGCCTGGGCGACAGAGTGAGACTCCAACTAAAAAAAAAAAAAAAAAAATAGCAATGGTAGAAGGAGAACCCACAGGTGTCAGTAGTTCTGTGAAATGTCTGATCGTAATATATCTTTGTCATTGCAAAATTATTTTTGGTCCTTATTTCTTTTTAATTCTCTAATTACCTATCTGTGCACTGCCTGGACCACCACATCCTATCACCCAGTTAGGGCCCCGGCTCTCACCAAGTGCAGGGATAAATATTTGCACTGGTTCACTGAAGGGTCCGACTCCCCCTTTTGTGACAGCAGCAATCCTCACTGTGCACGTGGCATTGTGGACTTGAACGGAGATCCGAGCGTGGCTGCCATTCTGACTGACTTCCTCAGAGAGTTCTTTCTGGGGACAGAGAGGAAAAGAGGAAATGAACCATTGAGGCGTCAGGAACACACTGCAGTCTTGCCTTCTGAGGGAAGCTGTCCTGCCCACGTTGCGGGGCAGTGGCCTTGCTTCCATAGCATTCCTTCCTCACTTGGGCCACAGCCAATAGAACCGGTATGGAGGCAGGGATGCAGAATGGGCTGGCAGCAATCAGGCCTTGGGGGCCTTGGAAATGAGGGCCATGAGGGCATGGCCCTTGGAGTGGTCATACAGAAGCTTCTGGAAGACAGGGAGCATGTAGTAGATGCACCCAGATTGCAAGAGCAAGACCAATTCCTTGAGAGCCCATCCTCAGAACCATGCAAAGCACGATGACCCAGAGTCACACTGTCCCTTGACATTGTCCACCTACCAGTGCCCTTGAACCAGTGAGAATGGACTCCTCTTCCCTGAAATTATAAGAATTTTGTCTAAAATCTACATGGAGGAGAGCCCTGGTGCTTTTTTTTCCAGTGTAACAAATGCACAATTTACTCAATTTTCTTTTTCTTTTTTTTTTTTTGAGTTGGAGTCTCACTCTGTCGCCCAGAATGGAGTGCAGTGGCCGCTCCCGGCCACCGCAGCCTCGACCTGCTGGGCTCTAGCGATCCTTCCGCCTCAGCCTTCCAAGGAGCCGGAATCACAGGTGCATGCTACCACGCCCGGCTGATTTTTTGTAGAGATGAGGTCTCGCCTGCCCAGGCGGGTCTCGAACCCGCGGGCTCAGGCAATCCACTCACTCAGCCTCCCAAAGGCGCGGGATTACAGGCTGAGCCACCGAGCGCAGGTTACTCAATTTTCAAAACTCTGGATTTACTTTTATTTATGTTGTTAAACCCACTGCCGTGCAACAGTGAGCCATTAAAGCACAGGTTAGAAAAACAACCAGAACTCAATGTTTATACAACACATTCCCCGTTTTTTTCCCAAAGTTCAATGATCACAATATTCTCTGGTGTAGGAAACTGATTTTGTGTTTGGGCTGGCTATTCAAATGGAAATTGTAGGGGCTGTGAATGCTGAAACGAAGCCCTAGAAACACATTTTTATCTCTGAATTTTGGAAATTTGATTTCAGAGACAGAAAGAGCGGTCATCTGAGGCACAAATATCCCAGATCATCCATGAAGAGCAAAGGCCCAGTTCTGTTGGTAACTTTATTCCCTGGTCACTTGGTCTCAAGTCAGGCTTTCCTAACAATGGTGCAGGATGGAACCAGCTCAGCCCTTAAGGAGAGAGTGGTCCCTCATTAATGACCAAGGGAACACCTGGGTCAGCCATCCAGAGACTGCTTCTAAATCTAAATAAGCAGTGACCATCAGAATCCAGAAATGCCCCTGTGTTGAAAAAATGAAATGCTTTCCTCTGTTCTCACACCACAACAATCAACACAGGAGACTGCTGTGATCTCTGATCAGTAAGAAATGTATGGGAATTTTCCCCACCAACCAATCAATCAGTTCTGTAGTGGATACCAGCTGGATATCCTTCAATCCAGTTCAATTCTGGTACCACCAACCTAGAAACAGCATCAGATCTCACAGGTTGGGGGCTCAGAACCCCAAGGCTGCCTCCTTCCCATTCTCAATGCACATCGCAAGCTGGCTGTTTTACCTGTGCTTCTGACCTATAAACCGGGGTTCCCACAATGCCTTCTTTGGGTCCATTTAATTTGCTAGAGTGGCTCACAAAACTCAGGAAAACATGTTTACTATTTTATTATAAAGAGCACTACAAAGGATACTAATGAAGAGATGCATAGGGCAAGGCATGTGGGAAGATACAGAGCTTCCATGCCCTCCCTGTGCATGGCATCCTCCAGGGACCTCAATGCGTTCCACTATCTGAAAGCTCTCCAAACCCTGTACTCCTGGGCCTTTTACAAATACTTCACTGGATAGGCATGACTGACAATGGAATAATTGACAATCACGTAGACATGTGATTGGACAAAAGGGTAGGACTGAATACTAACAGACTAAGCAGGGAAACCCAGCAAGGCCTATGTGTTCAGATCCTTCTTGGCCTCTCTGTGTTGCATTCCTTCCTCCTAGGTATAGGGGTGACCCTTCTGAAATGGGGGTCTCATGACCTACAATCAGACAAGGTGGGTCAGAGAATTTCTTTATGGCCAGCTCTAAAAGGCAGGGTGGCTTAGAGTCTATCTATAGTTTCTATAGCCTGTTTTGGGGAGAAAAAGGAGCAAGTGGAAGGAGGGCAGAAGGTCAGAGAGAGATTGTTTCCTGAGGCCTAAAGCACCCCAACATTATAACAATAGACTGTGTTTCACCTTTAAAGCTTCAGGAACCAAGGACAAAAAGCCAAAGACTTTAACAAAGATATGCTCATTGTTTTAGTCACTTAGGAAACAACAAGGACCATGGAAGTAATGAGCCAGGGACCTTGGATGAAAACCAATATATATACAATCTATCATAATATCACACCCCCAGGATGGAAGAAGAAAACAGGACCTTTAAAAAAAAGTTGGTTTTCCTACCCCACTGGACTCTGAGCCTATGAGATTTGCCATAGATTTTTCTTTTTTTAATTAAGTAAACAGGGTCAGGCATTATGGCTCACACCTACAAACTCTGAGTTTGGGGAAGGGAGGCAAGAGGACTGCTTAAGGTCAAGAGTTCAAGACCAGCCAGGGCAGTACAGCAAGACATCATCTCTATAAAAAATTAAAAAAAAAAAATTCAGGGTAGGAGGATCTCTTGAGCCCAGGAGTTAGAGGTCACAGTGAGCTATAATTGTGCCACTGCACTCAAGTCTGGATAACAGAGTGAGACCCTGTCTCTATTTTTAAAAAAGTAAACAAATTTGGTCAGGCTTGGTGGCTCAGCCTGCAATCCCAGCACTTTGGGAGGCCAAGGCGAGGAGATTGCCTGAGCCCGCAGGTTCGAGACCAGCCCGGGCAACTTAGCGAACCTCGTCTCTACAATAAATAAATTTAAAAATTAGCTGGACGTGGTAGCATGCGTCTGTAGTTCTGGCTAATTGGAAGGCTTAGGTGGAAAGATTGTGGGAGTCCAGCAAGTCAATGTTGTGGGAGTCCAGCAAGTCAATGCTGGGGTGGCCTTGAGTGTGCTACTGCACTCAAGCCTCGGTGACAGGGTGAGACTCCAACTTAAATAAATAAATAAAGTAAACAAATTAATAATTTTTTGGTATATTCTGGTCCTATCTTTTTTAGAAATAGAGCATTGTATTTATGGCAAACCCAGTTTTGATTATGGGTTAGTTGGTCATTCTGTATTTAATTTGGGTGGGTGCCAGGAGGCAGAAAATCATCAGGTAGAGTAACTCCATTGTTCGACCCCCCCACTCATGGAGTTCTGCAGTGACTTAGGGTAGTAGCCAAGAAACTGGCATGTCTGCTTCACAGCTGACTACATACTAGCTCCTCAGAGTACAAGACTCACTTCTGACAAAAAACATTGGAACTACTTTAGCTTAATGCTTTTTTTCCTATTTAAAAAAAACAACTAGCCGGGCTCGGTGGCTCAACCTGTAATCCTGCACCTTGGAAGGCTGAGGTGAGTGGACTGCCTGAGTTCGAGACCCGCCTGGGCAACTTGGCGAGACCTCATCTCTACAATAAAAAAATTAGCCGGGCGTGGTAGCGCGCGCCTATAGTTCCGGCTCCTTGGAAGGCTGAGGCGGAAGGATCGCCGGAGCCCAGCAGGTCGAGGCTGCGGTGGCCGGGAGCGGCCACTGCACTCCAGTCTGGGTGACAGAGTGAGACTCCAACTCACACACACACAAAAAAAAACAATTAAAACTCTAATACGGAATCTCATTTATGAGAGAAAGTATCTCCAAATAAGAGGAAATATACAATTGGAAAATAAGTAAATGCCTAGAAGAGCAGAAATCCTAACAAAACCAAAATTATTCCTTTGGGAATAAACATAAAAGTATGCTGTAACACAGGTTGAGCATCCCAAATCCCAAATCCCAAAATCTCAACTGCTCCAAAGTCTGAAACTTTTTGAGGACTAACATGATGTTTAAAAGAAAAATGCTCATTAGAGAATTCCAGAATTAGGATACTTAACCAGTAAATATAACATACATATTTCAAAACTAAAAAAAAAAAAAAATCCTAAACTTCTGGTCCCAAGCATTTGGATGAGGGATACTCAATCTTTACCTACTCACTTAGGGCCTACAACTCACTATGAAAACCCAGAGAGGTTACTTTTTATTTCCACTTCCTATTCCTTAAATGAGTTAACAAACATAAAACATAAAGAGCTAACCCTGTGTAAAGTGCTTAGAACACTGCCTAGCCCAGAGCAAATGCTAACATTGTACAGCGATGACCATCATCATAGTTGTCATCATCCTAAATCAATCAATATCTCTCTCTGGTTTAAAAAAAAAAAATTTGTAGAGACAAAGTCTCACTATGTTGCCCAGGCTGGTCTCAAACTCCTGGGCTCAAGTGATCCTCCCATCTTGGCTTCCCAAAGTACTATGATTACAGGCATGAGCTACTGCACCTGGCCCACAATCGTCATCATTCTGAATCTTCAAATATAACAACAATGTTGGCCAATGCTTACTGGTAACATGTTTTGGAAAGATGTCAAGGATCATTGCATTTTAGGGGCAGAATTATAATAAATGTTGATGCAGTGACTAGGAAGCTATATGATACATATTTTAGTAGATAATTTTCTCCAGGAATATACTGAAGTGGTAACTTCAAGTATAGTTTTAAAATCATCATGTTTTTTAAAAAATGAATGCATTTTTTACTGTTTTAATGCCAAGTATGTAAAGAAAGGTATTTCCCCATCCATATTCATTTTTCCAAGTATTTTAATTCTGGTTTTGAAAGTTGTCAGATAAATACAATTAAAGTCAGATGCATGCAGGAGCTACCTCATGTGAATTACCTCTGAAGTTGTCAGGGTGCAGACCACAGAAGGTGGGGCCATATCCCTGGCACGAGTTTGTCTGCCCATG